CCCCCCTGTACTGCCCCCAGAAAACTCTGCCGGGGTGGGCCTCGGGGCTGCTGGCAGAAATGGGCGTCCTTGCTAGACAGCAGGGTCCAGGCGTTTCTTCAGGGGTTTAGGGAGAGATGCTTGAGTCCGGCTCTGGCAGCAGGAAGTACTAAGGCAGATGCAGGAGCGTGCCTCTTATTATTAGGTCTGAAACTTCTCTCAAAGCATTTCTTCGTCTCAGGCTGAGATGCTGCCATCTTCTTACACTGAAAATGGGCAAAGAGCTTTACAAGGCTTTGGTGTCACTGGTCTGGCAAAAGAGTGTGCCTGCATGGAGTTCCTTGCGGAATTGTGAGCCTCCGTCGTTAAAGATTTTTAGGAAGGAATTGAGTTTTTTTCGGGAAAGTTTACAATTACATATTGTGTAAACTTAAGCTGTGCATAAACTTAGCATGAATTGTGCTCAGCTGAGCACATACTGGTGCACATATTGGTGCTCAGCTTCCTCTTGTGTTCTAGTTGTATCTGAAACATAAAAAAACCCCATACCTACCTAGATAATGGTAAAATACCATTTTAACGTTTACCTATAAAACATAATTATTTCACTTAAGTTTTATTCTTTTACCTTTATTAATCTGTAGATGATGAACGTGGATTTGAAAGGATATGCCCTTACTGCTTCCAGTTCCTGGTTCCTGATAGCTACCGGGTGCGACTCAAACCAAAGATGAAAGTGACTCCACAGATTGAGAAAGTTCTTAAACGACAGGCAAAGAACCATAAGCTTAATATGAAACAGACGAAGCTTTTGAAAAAGTACAGGGAGTCCAGAAGTGTTCTGGTAAGGATATTTACTTGGAACTGCCCAATACCTGACATTTCCCTGAAACCTTTCAGTGGCATAAAGAAGAAGATACAGAAATCTTTCTCTTGGAAGACGAGCTTACGCCTACACATTTCTTTTTTCATGAGCATATAACTCTATAACTCTTCCTTTCTTTTGGAATAATTTCTAGTCACAATCAGAATTTTTAAAATCTGCTCTCCACGGTAGAGAGATCATGAGCACAATGACAAGAACAGTAACTTTCCTGCCCCCCCCCCCCCCAAAAAAAAAAAACAACTCCACATGTCAGAGAAGCTACACAAACAGCTCTGCCTTCCCCCTGATCTCTTTAGCAGCAGTCTGGTTAGACTTTGCAGATGTCGAAGATCTTGCTGAAAATTAAGTCATTTCCTCTTGCCAAGAAGCTCTGGCATTTCCACTGTCAGATACTGTATCATTTGCATAGCTTTGCAAAAAACATCAGGAGTGGCAGATTTTTGCCCGTTCCTTTTTTCCTATGAATGTGGCAGAACTAGGACCAGGCAACTCTACTAGATGCAGAGCCTAAATACAGCCACGTATATGCTAAAATCCATTAGAATCCTTCAGAAATCTATTGCTAAGAGTACCCCAAAACATACCTAAGAAGAAAAACATGCCATTGGCTGAAGTCAGGCTGGTTTTGCCAGTATGTGTAGCTTAATACATTACTGCCTTTGTTTCAGCTCTGAAGAAGGGCTTGAGTGACTGATGGATTGTCAGTTTTTTTCGGTTTTATCAGTTGTGTAAAAATACATTTGCTCAACTTAACAAGCTTTACTTCGTTTATTTCAGTAGACTCTCATGGCTGCATCAGGTTATTGTTACCTTCTGTACAAAGTGATTTTTTTACGTTTGAATATTACTGTTTGTAGGAAGTCTTTCAAAACTAAACTACGTAAGTAATTTAAACAAGTTAATGTTGCTCTTGGGGCTTCAGTTCTTTTTCCTAAAATCACTCAGGAATGTAAGATTTAATTACTATTTTTTATACTAATTACTATTATTTGAAGAATAATAGTATACTTTCAATCTAGTGTTGCCAAGGCATGCACTGCTATTAACACAGGTTATGTGAATGGATGTTTTAACAAATGAGAGAGCACCCTGTTGTGCCCAGCAGTTGCTGGCACACTTGGCATTTTCTGAGATGAGAGCCTGCTGATTTGGGGAGTAAAATTTGTGAAACCAAAAATTGTTAAAGAGTCAATAACACAAAATTAAACTGAGGAAAAATCACAGAGGTTCTCAGCTGTCAGGGCAAAATAAGGTGCTCCAGAAAGGCAGCTTTGCTATTACTCTGTCCAAGTTGTAGATCGTAGTTGAGCAGCAGAAAGGGCAGCTGAGAAGCTGGAATCTTTGCTTTATTTTTCTGGGATCACAAACATTTAGTGTACATTAAGAACTGTCTCTTTAGACAACTGATGAACAGTGTCCTACAGAATTATGATGGGTTCTTAGTTTTATTCTGTAGCTGGAGAGGTTTGTAGGACGCACTGTGCATTCATATGAGGAGTTTAAAATTCAATTTTAAATAAGTCCAGTTTAAACTCTGGGTAATATTCTAATCTTGGGATGTAATTACAGTTTGCTGCACTTGTGTTCTCCTGAGTTCTGTTTGCATTTGTGCTCTGGATTATGATTTAAATATTTCTGGTCTTAAGTATTTAAAATACTGTCAGCAACGGACAGCTTTCAAAATTAGCAATGTAGATCCCTATAATCTAATACCTGAGAAAATGAAAATTTGAGTGTGGTTGAAAATTAAACCAAGCAACAATGTGACAGGTTGTGCCTCTGATGATACCTTTCTTAGCAAGTAGAACTCGATTTGAGGATGCTTCTGCCATGAAAAGGCATATAACATAGGACCTATTTCAGGGCTTTTAAAATTTTTTAGAGTTAACTGCACATGCAATTCAGGCAATGGAAACTAGCTGAGCAGTGCTATGATTAATCCACTAATTCCTGCATTGTAAGGTGTTCACCTCCACTTGTATTCTGTGGAGTGCTAAATCGTCGTTCAAGGCTGTGGGTTTTTTTTTTTTACCCCATCTGAATTTCATTTGGAAGAACTAAAAATACATCGATACCTGCACTGTATAAGTTAACGATCTTTCTCTTTTTTAGTTTGTTACGCTGACAAAATAATGTCTAGAGACAGTCAAAACACTTAATTGAAAACGTTTCATTTCAGCATTTCTACATGTAATTCTTTCTAAGCAAGCTGAATTTAGGTAAACTTACACACTTTGAAATAAAGAATGATTTGTTATAGATGTTTTCAAAACTGCTTAGACATTTTTGTGACATTCTTTTGTGTATGTTTTTTTAACCAGAAACATCACGTATCTGTGTGTTTCAGTCAGTGTAATTGTGTGCCTCAAAAAGTTGTCTGGCTGTATTACTCTCATGTCTCTTAATAAGAGTAGTTGCCATGGCAGTCAGGGATACTAGGAGTATCTGACAGTCTCTGTGACTGCCTGACATTATCTGTTCTGATGCACTTCTGCAACATACTGTGCTGCTGGAAGTTCCCTGCAGCCTCGAAGTAAACAGATAGAAGAGAAAGTGCCCTTTGTTTAGAACCTCCTCTGTATTGTAGTATGTATTTTTGCACTAGTAGAAAGCCTCTTCTTTGTTCGCTAAGACTTGCTGTCATTAGTTATGGATGACTATTTTTGAGACTTTGGTAATTTATTTTATCTCAAGACTCCCTGGAAAGTGTGTAATATAACTTCATCAGGGGTACAATATGCTAATGAATTTAGATCATATTGTATGTCATGTTTTTTAGCAAAATATGAATACCCCTAATGTATACTCAAGATATCATATTTCTGTTTTGACAGGGTTATATTTCACTGTACAATGTTACATTCAGAGTTACAGGTCTCCTGAAATTAGTTGCTAGGGGATTGGAGCCATTTCTAGATAAACCCATAGGATGTGTTTGGCTTAAGAAGCCTGAATGAAAATACTACCTGTAAAGTATATGTTGCTTTTTAATATCTCATGTTTCACTCAAGCAAATATTTAATTTGTGTCATGGTATTTGGAGAACAGTTTGAATAATTCTTACGATGGCTTTATAACATAAAGCTGGAAAGACTGAAAGAATGGTTGATATTTCCTTTCTTCTCTCCATAGCTGGTTACTTGCAATTCGTGCAACAAAACAACAAGACATTATGGTAAAAGCAGGGATTTTCTGGCTACCAAGACACAAAATTCTGGCACTCCAAGTATTAAATCTAGCCTGAGGACACCAGATGTAAAAATTCAATCTGCAAACAAAGTGACACCTTTAAGCTGCAGTAGGTTGGGATCTAAAGGGAACAGTCCGTCGTCACTTCCCAGGTACCTGTTTCTCTCCTATTTAAGGAGGCACTTTGCCGAGTAGAGTGCATTATGTTTTGTTGGGAAAGGGCGTCATGTACTGATTCCAGATCAGTCACTTAATATAATGTTAAATTGATAACTAAGTATTTTTCTTCAGTGGTCTGATTGAGGAGATCAATTTTAACTTTCCAGTCTTTAAAATTTAAGATTCTAATGAAAAGCAACTTGTGTGCAAAGAATGCCTAATCATGTTTTTGTCATAAATGTGAAATGCCTGGCTTAAAATGTGCATAACAAAGTTACACTTCTGACTGCTTATTTTCACATGAAAATACATTATTTGCATTCAAAATTTTTCACTTATGTTATATGTATGTGCTTTCATAGTTACTTTATGTTAATTCTTATTCCTCACCTTTAAAACATTTGAGTCTTTTGTTTTTCAGAATACATGTATCTGGACAGGCGACAACCAGCTCTGCTTCCAAGACTCCCCGAAACTCGAAATTTCACTTTGCTAAGCTAAAACGGATGCTTAACCTAGAAGAAAAAGAGAAAAGCCAGAAGGCAGATTTGAAAACCTTCTTGGCTTTACTTTAGTTATACATTATTTAAAAGTAATAAAGATTACAGCAATAAGTATTGTTCCAGTTTTAGTAAATCAACAAAGTGATTTCTTTAAAACTCAGACTAACAGCGTGTATCCTGTGAGAGCATAGACTGATTTTTAGAAGCAAGCTCTGTTTCTAAGGAGACTGATTGCCTGCAACAGGGAGATGAGAAAATAGCCAGTCTAATATGCTTGGGAATCCTGAACATGATTTGCAGTCTATAATAGCCCGAGAATTAAAATCTAGGATCTGTCCTTTGAGGAAGCTGGCAACACTGGATCCATCAGAACCAACAGATAGGTTGGCAGACCTGGAAGCAATTTGAGGGTGGGGAGGCTGCAGTTTGCTCCACCTCACTCACTATTTTTAAGATAACGCATCACAGAAGATCTAAAAGATCTCATCCTTGCTTTGCATGTTTGAGTAAAACAAAGACACTTTCACTGACACTTTCTGCAGGTACGGTATTTTCAAGGGTCTAATGTAGTGTCGCTGCCTTTTGTTACCTGTGGTAATTTAAGCACAGCCTTTAACACAGCCTTTACAAAGGTTCCAAACTAACTTGCTCTTTAAGACAGCACTCATATACAAAGAGACATGAAACAGTCTATCGCCTGATTAAGTTTCTTCATTTTCTTAAGAATGTTCTCTGTGATTTGGACTGCAGACGATACTGGTCCCAGGATAACGCAGAACTTTGTAAAACCTCAGTCTAATGTGGGATGCTCCAAGTACCAACTGACAACTCCATGCTAGACTGATATCAGCACTCTGATTTGTTACTGCTACGAGAGCAGCATGGTCATAAAGAATACGGAATGCTTCCTTTCCAATTGCTCTGGTGCCACCAAAATGGGTCACTTTTGTCTTGTTCAGGAATGACTAAGGAGAGAACCTCTTGCTTAAATGTGTTGTGGTTTTATCAGGCTTCAGAGTCTCTTCCTTCCTGGACTTCAGACTGGAAAATGAGGTTTGCCCTGGGCAGCAGTGAACTCATTGCACCGAAGTGTTTTCCTGTGAATAGATGATTATCAAGGTTAAAGTGGTCTCTACTGTCAGATTTTACTTTTTCAGTTTGGCATAGAGGTAAGAAAGGACAGTAAAAAGTCAGTGTTCAGGAACAAGTTTGTAGCCTGCCCTGCGTATAGTCTGCAGTGACAGTACCACAAATCACGCTTCAGATTTCCCCTCTGAAAAAGAGAATCAGTCAGTTAAAACCATTTAAATTCTTGGGTTTAAAGGTCTGTATTTTCCTTTTTTTTGTATTCTAATGAATAGTTTCCTTCGAGTGTGTTCAGACTCCATGAACATCACCTAAGAAACGGGACCGGCAAGTAAGTTGGCAGACTTGAAAGCAATGCAGGGCAGGGGAGAATAGTTTGTGGCAAATTCTACTTACAGCGTCAAAGATTGGTATGTAGCCTTTTTATATCTCCTGTACACCTGCACGATAACTTTGAAAGGGTCACTGCCGTTTGTTCCTTACGTACGTGTAGGATCAAATTAACTCATTCTTTGATCAAAATACAGACCTTGCAGTTATGCCTTTTCCAATGTAGAACTTGGCGTTAGTTCACCTGTTGTTGCTGCAGTTATGATGCAGTCCTCTGCAAAAATACTTCAATCTTGTTCATGGAAAATGCGCATTATACAAAAGTAGTTGAAAAAACAAGTTTTGCAATAAGTTTTTACCTTAAAAGTACACACATTAAGGTACTCTGCTGCTGTGCTTCCTCTGACACTTACGTGAAACCAGTGTGGGCATCTGCTTAGTTTTAAGGGGCACCAGCATTAATGTGTTAGCTCAAATCAAGAGTATGCTTTTGAAGCACATCTCCCAATTGTCCCTGTTTACTGTGCTTTTTACCACGATACCGAGTGGTCTTGGAGTACGAGTCACATTCCTTTTGGATAAAACTACAGATAATGGATAAAAGACATGGTCCGGGGCACAACCAGTGTGCTGCGAACTTTAACGGGCAATCTATCCCCAGGATCACAGCAGAGCTAGCCTGAAGGGCACATCTCCAAAAAGCGTATCGTGGATGGCAGGCACCAAGCTGCAGGTATTCTGCGCTCCAGGTGTATTACTATTGCAATGTGCTACTTGTTAACGTAGACAAGAGTCTTGTCATGCTCCAAACATCATCATTTTCTTTGCAGTTTACCAGAGTTGTCAGACATGTCCAGATGTGTTATTATAAGGAATCACTATTGCAAGCTATCAAACTTTACTGTGGAAAAAATGGAGGAAAAAAAAATAATCATTCAGTATGTACCATTCCTTCTTTTACAAGTGTGCTTCAAAACGCTGGGCAGACGTAGTATTGGCATTTTCTATCTATCTGAAGTGCTTTTATGTTATTCCTAAGTCTCTAATACAGTCTTTTTCTGTTATTAGACTTTCACAGAACCAGTGTATTGAAAAACATATATATAGATACACACACACATAGATAGGTATATTCATATCTTTATATATATGATGTATATATGTATATACATACGTATACACACATCAGATGCATATATATACACATATATATACACACACATATATGTATACACATGTATACAGACATGCATCTGAATGCACTCTTCCCTTCAGAATATATTACATTGCTGTACTCGATGAAACACTGAAGGTTAATTGTTGGCCGCAACAGGCTATTGCTGAGCCTCCCTGCCGGACTTCTGCCATGCAGCATTTCTGGTTTGTGTTTGAAGGGCTGGAAGAACAACTCCATAGAGAGGAAATGGCCTCCCTGGTTTCAGTGAGGCCAGAATTTCACCCAGACTTTGTAAAGCAAGACCAAGAAGGTTCTCTGTTAAGCATGCACCCCTGCATACAGGTATTTAATTACAGAGTGAGAGTTAATTCCCAGCTCGTACAAATTCTGTTTATGCAATGGTATGTATATTCATTGACAGTAAAAGCACCATACCGTATATTGAAAATGTTACAAAGTGTGTCTGAATATAACCAGCTCAACTAAAGCGTGATTTATTTTGAAACATCAGTTTGAGCCATTTTCCCATTTTTGAGTACTGGGAACCTTAAGCTGGCATACTACAACTCGTTCCCTCACACCCAGGCCCACCTCTGAAGAAATGCAAACTTCAGCCAAACTAGATGGTATATGAACGATATTTCTTTTTTAGGAATTTACAGTTCTAGAGATAGGATCTCAGACTTTCTAATGCACTGCTTCCTCACTGAGAACTGTCACACAAAATACAAATACGGAGTAATAAATTCAAAATTAGTATTGACCATTTCCCAAGCATCACTATGAGATTTTGGTTGACTCACTCCTAAGTATAGGGAGCAGTTTACATTAAAGCCATTTCACACCATGAGATTGAGTAGGCAAGCAATAAACAATGATTTCAAAGATGTTTTTACAACAATGTTTTATTCTATTAAATATGAAAGAGCGTACATATAGGTGTTATTCTGAGGACATAAATTACACAAGGATTACACGTTCTGTCAGAAAGCACAATAATGAAACATCTTTACATTTCAAGCTTTTCTTGTTAGCTTTTAACAAATGAGTCTATTTCTGTTGCAGACAAATAACGAGTGCTATTGAACTTTTGCAAATTCCCACAAAAACATCATGCTTAGTAGGATACTATTGTAAAGATGAAATCAGATTTCTAAATAACAAGATGGGAGAGATTTACTACTTAATCAAGATAAATGACACACTGAAATAGGAGCTGAAACAAAATTGGTCATTCATTTTAAAAAAAATTCCACTTCAGACACTACATTTGAGTCTGTTTTCTTCACTTGCAGGAATAGTCACTGTGATTATATGCATGAGTAATAAGCAGAACTGGCGCTAAATATTTATAAAATGTCAAATTTTAGACATGCTGGTTTTCTAGTTCACTAATTTTTCCACTGAAAAAACCCCCACACCTATGAATCTATTTGCTTATGTTTCAAAAGGTTGAAAACCAGCTGTTCTGTAGAGGGCCAATCAAGCCTATGTATGATTTCCATGTCTTCCACGGTCATCTGCACAGGGGACTACTGAATCCTATGGATGTATTCTGGGTCATCACTGAAGTACCACACTGAGTTACCACTGGCTTGTGAGAGCAGCATTAGCCTGTGGAAGTCCTAACACGTTGTCTTTTTAAACTTCAGGTAAACAGGAATGTAATTTTATCATAATGAAAGCTCTCGGTTTGACATTCAGAAGACTACTCAGATAAAATATGTAACAAGCATGTAGTTTGGGTTGTGTTGCTAGGGATTAACTGAGGTGTTTTAATATATTAATACAAACATTAATGGAGTGAAACAGACAAGCTGATGTTACTGCAGGCTGTAGTTTGATTTTCAAAAGGAATAACGAAACACAATTTCTAAGAATGGTAATTTTTGTAACTAAGGACTTCACATTTATTTTTAAAACCACAGAAGTGGGGTAATATTCCTGATATCTTTCAAAACATTCTGCAAAAACACAGCTTGAGCCTGCAAACACCGGAATATACAAGCAGTCCCAGTGACCTCCAAGGTAAGCATTCTCATATGGCAAAGAGCTGCAGAAATCTCTTTGCTTTTTTCAGAGAATGCTCAATAAAAGTGCAATATAGTGAAGCAAATAATCTCATTATTACGCTTTTAGTATTAGATGAAAAATGTTCAGATATTTTATAATTGTGCCTTTTGCAGGGTGGGCATTCTGGTTTGAGTAGAGTCAGACCACGTTAGAAGAGACGGGCAGGGTACACCCACACATTTTCTTTCCCAGGGTGGTAACGCCCCAAAGCAGTGCTATCGTATAAGCCCTTCTACAGCTAAAACATTGTGCTGCCCAGTTTCACACTGTTATTTCTATTTTGACAAAAGTTGACATTTGTTTTGCTTTTCATTTCCACCCAGGCATGTTCTCCCTTTCAGCTTCTAGGCACCCTTCCTTTCCCCTCCCAGCCTCTTTTCTTCCTGAGATGTCAGAATTACGTACGTTACGCTTTGGAACCTGAGAATTTGGAGGTATTTTTTGATACTGCAGGGCTGCATTTGTATTGTATCATGTATCTCCTGCTATACTGTTACAGTTACAATATAAATCTTCTAACTAGTTGATACCTGATGTCTTTCCCGTATAAATAAAAACAACGTACCATTCAGCCACTAATATAAGACACTTGCTTTAAGAGTGACCTTTAACTTCTGCAAGTCCTCTTTTCCAAACAAATGTTGAGGGATCCTTTCCAAAAACCCAGCTATGAAATATTCCTTGAAGTAAACAATTTCACAGTAAAATAAAGAAAAATATATCCAGAAAATACTCACTCTCTCAAAATTAAAACTTATATACACCAAGAAGCTGAGATTTTTCCTTGTTCTTGTATCAGTTCTACATTATCTGTAGATAAGCAACATTATCACTAAGAGTTACGAATAGGAAAAGCAAGTCTAGTGAAGTAAGTGTTGTGTCTTTTTTAATAGTCTAGAGAGACCAAGGAAATTCAGCATTCAACTTTATTATTATAATTATTTTTAATTAAGGTAGAAAAAGACTGTTTAAGCTTAATTCCCTATGGTCTTGAGTATCCAAGACTTAGATCCTTCAATGCACTCTAAACAAGCCATGCTGCTGCCCTTATAATCATCTTTGGGTACAAACTAAGTTTTCAATGGATGGGATTCAACTGTGAACTCACTATTTATCCTTCTTGTTTTATAATTTATTTTACAATTCTTAACAGATTAAGCTGTTTTAATATTTATCACAAATTTGGTCCTATTCTTTAGCAAGACTGAGCTTTAACTGCAACTGTAATGCACATACATGTATATAAGAATTGATGAGCTGAGTTTAACGTACTGGAACAGAAATATTTAAAACATTAAAATTGGACCTGAACATTCATTTTCGTATCAAGAATCTATGCTGAAAAGATGCCAGTAAGTGTTATTTAATTTTGCATATTAGAGTTAAACTAAAGAAACACTCCTCTGGATTCATTATAGTTAGCTCTTTTTTTCCTGCAGAGTGGAAAATTGCCACTCAAAACTTCAGAAGCTTTGGACAGCTAGTGAGCTCTGATGAACTATTTTCAGCATTCCTATCCATCAGTCAGAAATTTTGATGAAATTAGTATTCTGCATTGCAAGCTATGGAATGCTACGTCAACAGCTTGTATTTTTATCTTTTGGGGTTTTTTTCCCTACTTAACTGAGGTCTAATTCATGGCAACTTCCATGAGAAAAGATAATTGAATTGAGGTGCTTATGTACAACTGTATCTATTTTAAAGAGGAAGATTATTGTCCATTCGCATCCAACAAGTATTCTAGCGCTTAGCCCTGTAGAAGTCAATAACAAGTGACAGATCACTATCTTCAAGAATTTCACTCCAGGACTATTTTGAGTTGTGGTTTTTGAAAAGGAAGAATAGATTTTATAAAAAAATTTGCTTTCATGTGAGGAGTATTAAACTTGTGAACCATGAAGTTAACTGATGCAAAACAATGCCTGACAAGTGCAAAGCCATGAACAAAATGCAATCACTAAATACTCAGATGATACATCCAACTCAAACACTTGCAGCCCAGGTTTTTAAGGTCATCTAAATGCCAAGGGCACAGGTAGGCATTTTTTAAATCACTCCTCAACAATTATGTGCCTAATTCCGACTGATTGAAAAGCCTAAACTTTCTGGCAATCTGCTAGATGCCTGTCTGTATCTTTAAGTTTTTAAGTGAACTTAAAAGCTGGTGCATAGTATGGTAACAAGGACTTTTCAGAAATTCAGCTACCTATAGACAAATACCACATTTGTGCCATGCAAAGGACTTTTTTAAAAACAGACACTCGGCAATAATTTTCCACTGTTTGACTTATACATAGGCCTGAACTGTCTCCTCCTGTTCTGTGAGAAAAGACGATCAAGATCTAGAAACATTTGCTGGAGCGGGTGGAGGTGTGGGGCTGGAAGCCCATGCTGGCCTCTGGGGTTTCTCAGTGGAAGAGGATGTACAGCATGGCTGTATTACCGTGTTGCTGCGTGTATGGATGGTACATAGCATTGTCAGATTTTAATAATGGGCATTTAACAATTGGGACAGTTTAGAGAATGACCTTTCAATTTAATTAAAGCTGTAAAATGGCTTCACATTTCTGGGATTAACCTTTTTAGATGGAGACGGATGTTCCAGAAAGGGATTAGAGTACAAATGAATGGTCCCTCAATTTAGAAACTAAGCAGCTGTAAAAAGAAAGTTACAATTTTGAAACATAATTAAACTGGTCGATTGTATAGTTTCTTACGCTGACTTTTAAATGATACTAATATATTGCAATATTTTGAGTCATTTAAAGATCTGCTCAGTGTAACACGATTTATGTTTTCCAATACAAAACTGGTTACTAACATTTACTTCAAAAAACTCCACCTGACTTCTTGTGGGAGTGGGTAATTTAAATGTAATGGACAGTAAGATCACTTTTAACTTTGCATTAAATTGCATCAACCTTCTTGCAAACATAAGCTTGTGATTTCCACATTTCACTCCCTCACTAGCAACTGAAATGTCTCGAGTTAGAAGAATGTGTTGATTATATGTTGATCTACATTAAATACAGGGTACATAAGAAAAATCTTAGCATGTTTTTTTACAGGGCATCCAACTAAAATCTTTACAAAAGATAAGATAATTATCCATTCTTCAATGTAATAGACAGATGCCATTTTATAAATGTACCCTTATGTTCACTCACCAATAAAATAGTAAACAAATCAACTTTTTAAGCCATTTTTTATAAATTAGTATTTTTACTGACACTCTCCAACAATATACAAAAATAATACTACAAGAGTACCAATCAGTCTGACCTACCCCTCATTTCACAGAAAAGTAGAGGTTATGGAAGGATGTTTTTGTAATCAATCATCGCTGTAGATGTCTCCTGCAAACGGTAGGTGTACATGGCTGCCCGTGACGTTGGGAAGTCGAGAAAGATCAGGCAGGTTCTGGATGCGTGATCTGAGTTCTTTCCGTACTTGGGACACTCTGGCTAGCTTGCGTTTGTACTCCTGTAATGCAGAAAAATTCAATATGAGGCTCTTTTGCTAATACCGTCCCTACTACTTACTGTACTCAATGTTTTCCAAATAAAGTATTCCTTTAATATTCCTTTAATGCAAGTTAGATGACTAAACATCCTTTAACAGGTGAGAACCCAAAGAACTGGGTGTTTTGGAGGCAGAGGCATCAGCTCTAGCATTTTCTCAGCATCTGACTTTGGATGCATAGCCATGGGATTATTTTGCTTTCAATTTTAAGTATATAAATGCTACACAAGGAAGACAATCCCAGTTAACACAACTACACACATTTCTCCATGCGACTAGTAGAATGGGATTATTCTTAGAAACTGTATTAAGGATAATTGATACACATACTCTACTATCACTCACAGAGTATGGGAGGATAAACTTACTGATGTCAAAGAAGTTACTTTCAGCTCATACGGATGGAAGAATACCACCTAACCGGGCCTGTTGATCAGCCTCACCAAGCTGACCAATCTTAAGTATTTTGTATTAACTTTCATAATAAAAAGGATATTGCATCAGTACATTTATGGATCTAACCCTGAGTTTTCAGAAACTTTTTTAATTGATTTCACGTTGTGGTGGTATAGAGGTCAAGCCACTCACAGTTCATACATTTAATGATTATGAGACACTTTTCACATGAAACAACATTAGACGACCTAAAGTATTTAACATTGTAAACCAGTGCACTAGAATATAGTCAGTGCTCCCCTATTAAGAATATGAGACATAAGGGAGAAGAATACCAGCTTGTATAAAATCAAAACGGTTATTCCAAAGTGTAGGAAGATTAGGGGACAATTTACAGGAATATATACATTTCAAAAACTTGGAAACACATTTCTTTGGAGAGCAGAAGAGACTAAGCATTAGCAGGCAAAGCAGCACTTCATGAAAATATACTGTAATTCACAACGCATCAAATGCAGATGCTTTCCAGTGCAGCTGCAGGTTTTGCTGCAGCCTGGGAGTGGCTGGAAATAACAAGAAATAGTTAACCTACAACTTGGATAATCAGCCCATGGATAATCAAGATCTCATTATTATAACCACTTCTAAATAATAGTGGGAGAAAAAATCTACATCATCCTGTAAAAGTGCCAAATACAAACACTTGACAGTTCCAGCAAGTTTAAAAACACTGTGCAAATGTCTATAAAAGATAACAATCATGCAATTTACAAGGTCTAAACATAATTTTAAACATTTTTCTATACTGTTAATAGCATGCAGTAAAAAGCAAGGCCAATGAAAAGACCTTTTGGTAGCAGAACTCAATACGGTAGTACAAATGTTAAATACCTGGGGCATGATCAAGATTATTGGACAAGGTCCAACACACATAAAACCAAAGTTTGAGACTATTAGCAGCAGTCTGGCCTTCTTACCAAGGGCAGTAAGAGAACCACAAGAAATCTTACATTCTTAATGTGAACGTAATGCATAGGTAAAAAAAATAATATTTAAATCATTACATAGAAAGAGAGAAAAAAGCATCACTGAATTAGGATCATCAACTCCTTGTTAGCATTTATATTTAAAAAATAAATATGCCATACAGTTCAGAGTCTTATGAGATACTAAACACAGTGAAAATACTACAAATGCCTAGTCAGCAGAACTGTAAACACTTGGTGATAGTACACAGGGCAAAGCAGCGTTCCTTTTATGATACGGATGACCAAAAAAGTCTTGCAACTGCAAGTCCCTTGGTCCTAGGAAAACCATCACTTGTTCAAACTTGCCCAAAACATTCTCTCTGGTCCAAGTGAGTTCAGGATGTGGCTGTTGAAATGAAGGGCTGTATCCTGATACTGTACCCTTACAGTAATGCCCAAAGGCCTCAAATACTTCAGTGTTTCATATCTAATATTACAGCAGCATCCAGAGGCCTCAGTGAGCTGATTCTGTGCAAGAGTTATAGTCCTTTGCCAGCATGTAAAAAGCCAGTAACAGAATACTTCTTGCCCTTTTCACTATCTATTTTAGTCCAGATTGCAGAGGTATACTCCTGACTATTATTTTAGGATATAGATTTTAATGCCGGAGGAAAAGATAGGTTTCATTGTTTAGTAAAACAATTTGGCAATATACAGAATCACTATTTTCAGAAGCAGGATGGGTGGAGATTGAGCATTGGGCAACAAGGGCTTTGAGCAAGCTTGAAGCTAGGAGATCTGGCCTGAGTTGTGAAAGACATACTGCTGTACGGAAGAGGACAGGTAGAACTGTAAGCAGAATCAAAACACTCAAAAGGCCCAAAATTAGTAAAAGAAATCAACTATAAAATCATTCCAGCACTTAAGTCTTGTAAATGGTATTTGAATCAGCAGAATCCTGACTAAGTTCATTCTCTGTCAATGAAGAATGTGAAGCAGCAAATCAGTATCCCTTCATAAGCTCGAAGCATGATGCTAGGCAAATATGCACAGATCACACTTAGCAGCTACGTTCTCTCAAGACTTTACTCCAAAACCTGAAATGTACCTTAAATGAGATTGCCAGTTGCTTGACTCCATTAAAATTCCCTTTAGCTGATAATAAATCATTTCCATAATAACATCACATTTCTGACATCCAGCATTTTCCGTATAAATTTTGCCTGGGACTTGTTGCCTAGTGAATATCAGCTTGATCAATATTACTGACAGTAGGTTCCTTTTTCTCACTAAGGAAAACGTTCTCATAAATTCAGTCTCCCATGTAATACAGTCTTCTTCCTCTCGCCAACACCTTTAGCGTAATGCACAGTCAGGGAGTCAAAATTTGTTCCTTCTGCTTTCCCAGAAATAGAGATGTCTGAGAATGTTTGCTCAAGGTTCTTACTATAAAACTAGAGTAAATAAAAAAATATGTAAGGTTTTATAGTTCATTGTATTATTGATGCAGTATAAGCTACAGAATGCAATTTTAACACAATTTTGGTAATCCAAAGCATATGCAAGATCTGCAACAAAGATGTCCATGACAATCCTCCCCCACAAGTAGAAACATTAGTCACCTTAGCCAGAGCACCTCATTTTCCATGACACTCCCAAAATCATTCAAGAAATCACTGGAAATATCCAGTTTTCATGACTGGCGAGCAAGTTCAAAAGAGGGCTGATTTTCAAGTACAGTGACTTAGCAGGTCTGAGATACTTTCAAAGGCGCTGCATTTCACAGTTTGATTCTATTTAAAATCATTAGTCATTTCTGAAACAGTTTGCTTATGTATTTTCAAGGCTGCTAAAATAGTCCTGGCATTACCTAAGTAGTCCTGGACTGTTGGAATACAAGTACCAAGCATCCATTATCATTATATGTACAGCCTTTATTATTTTATCATAATAGCATCCACATGTACCTACAACCTTTTTCCTCAGTGTATATGTTGAGTGTGACTATATTAGAGCAGAGGAGTGGGAACAGGGATATCTAGGTGGTATTTCTGTTATCTTTGCTCCATTAGAAATGCTGTATAGTATACAACCAAGTAACAGTTTAACCATATTGTTGAAACTTCTAACTGCAGAAATCCTCATGGAGAATTTCAATTTCATTTTCATTATGTTGATCTTAAGATATACTTCAAATTACCCCTGTGTAAATGAGGCAAGATTCAAGCTATTTACTTCAGTCAAGGACAGGCAGAAGTATGATGTTTTCTTTTGCTACACTGAGCATAATTTGCATTGCTTGCTACCTATGGAGAACCTTACTCTTGGGATATATGAGCAACCTGATGTACAGAATTAAAGTCTCTTCAATTTCTTTAGCAGTCTAGGATAACACTACTTTCAAACAATAATTTTCTGTTCTTCCAGTCATAAAAGTAGGTTTATGAGATAATTATAAGAACTTATTTTGCTCATTAGAATCCCACTGATTACTACAGTTTCCATTAGTTGACAGTGTAGAATATGGATATATTGTGAAAGCAATACTAATATATGGATTCCACACCTAGATTAATAGTAGTTCTCTATCAAATAAGTACCAGGCAAAAAAGCCAAATAATTTTTGATTAGACACTACAGTCATCATGAATAATAAAAACATGGGCATGCCAAACAGGCTGTGCACTGCAGAGAATATTTTCCCTTCCAACTGAAATAGGCTGAAATACATCTTAATATAGGGTTTCTGCAATTAGCACAAAGAGGTGCTTCAGCTCAAACAACTTGGAACACGATGCATATGCTTTCCCTTTACCACATGACTTGGTTACCTTCATCTGATCACTAAGGCTATGGCATGCATCAAAATACTGTGTAGCAGAAAATGTATAGCAAAGTGAAAGAAAAAAAAAGTCTGATTCCAAAGCAAGAATAAAAGGTTTGCAGAAAACACATATTTAATCTGCACCCTCGTTAGCTACAGGAAGAAAGGTAAGGTGGAAATCAATACTCTCAATACAGGAAAATAAAACCCCAAAAGCTTTTAAGGTATTGAGAGCATGTGTGTACATCGGCATCCATGGCCTGTATGTACATCACATTTAAAACTGAGAACTCTGACTTTCTAAGTCCCTCCCAACCTTCCAGTTTCAAGTGCAGACATCGGAGCTGGGTGACACAGCAAAGGCTTCTCATGCACTGTGTCCAACAGCACAGAAACCACCAGAAATCTACGAAGACTCAGATGAAGGCAAATGGCATGTGATACCCAATACCTAGATTTTGAAGTTCAGAAACACAGGATTTGTTTATAGATTCCACCTTGTTAAAAACTAATGCCTCACCTAGTCTGGGTATTTTTCTGCAAGGAAGACTTGACAACTAGACTTGAAGGAGTCAGATAAGCCTCACTATCACTCTGGAAGACAGATGAGCAGCGTTAAATTTTGTGCTGCCTTTAAAAATTTGGCATGGCTTACATTCTTCACCAGTAGGATTAAAGGCTCAACCTATTCACCAGTGTTAAGGATGAACAAAACCCTGAAATAACTTTCACTTAAGACACTGAACAGCCTGAACACATCTATGTGCTTCACA